TGTTGAATTAACCTAGGGCATGGGAACCACGTGGCAAATCGCCGAAACTCAAAATTATCAATGGTACATCTACACTAAGCTGGTATATAGAAATATCAGTGCTACCTGACGTGTCAGCTCTGACGAACACCCATGAACTCTTGATGGATTTATTGACTCACCGTCACATCCTCCCAAGATTCCCACCCACGTCCCTTAACCTGCTTGAGGTCTTCTTCTGTGATCTCTTTTCCGGTCGAAAAGTACCCAGAATGGATCTTGGCATCGATCTCTACTCGTGAATCCTCCGGAATCATATCTAATCCAGTTAACCGCAACTCCCCCCATTAGCATATGCAGGCCAACTCACCATCCGGAATAGGAACCCGCTCATAAATCGGAATTCCCTGCTCGACAATCGCATCATGCTTCATATTCGACATGGACAGCATGCGATCAATCTTCGTAATGCCCAGCCAATGCAGGATATCCGGCATCAAAGCTTGGAAACGCATCTATAACACCATTAGCATCACCAGCAACATCTCCCTAAGGAAAAGGAAGAATACTCACATCCTTAGTCCCCGCAATATTCTCCGTCCTCTGAAAATACTTATCGGCAGTATCCCCACCCCTCTTCCTGGAATTATACACCAAATACTTCACCACCTCACCCAGCGCCCTCCCCTCCTTGCGAAAATAAATCACCACTCCACTCCCACCCCCCTGCGCCTCCTTAATCGCCTCCTCAATCCCAAACGTCAAATACGGCCGACACGTACAGATATCCGACTGAAACACATCCGACCCATTACACTCATCGTGAATCCGCAGCGCCAGCCGCATCTCCGGATCGGATACCCGCTCGGGCGGCCCAAAGATGTATACTGTCAGCCCGCCAATCGGCGGAAGAAACACCTTCATATCAGGTCTGGTGATCAATTCTGGATAACTTCCCCCAGTATGTTCGAACAACGCCCGGCGCAGATCCTTCTCCGATACGCCGAACCGATCAGCCACACCGGGGAGATACCACACGGGCTCCACAGCTACTTTGGTGACCTTCACATCCCCACCTTCGTTGAGAACGATGTTCCCATCGATAGGAACTCGACCGCGTGAAATTGCATCCGTGATCTCAGAGACACGCATCGTCGCCCTCGTCACAGCGATGGTCGGCCGTACGTCGACCCCCTCATCTAGATACTTCCCGTAGTGCTTGACGATATCATGACCGAACGGATCCATCGAGACGATCTTGCTCTTGTCGCCCCATGCATCTTGGTAGGGGAAATTGAATGTCGGCTGTGTGTTAAGAAAGTTCGGGCGGAAGTCGGGTTCCAAGTCCCCTGAGGCGATGGCGAGCGCGGTGTAGAATGAGTAGCTGCCGCCGTGGGCGCCGATCGCGTTGCGCTTGCTGAGGGTGTTTTTGCTGCGGGAGACGATGACGGGACCGCGGGTCTCTGGGGTTGAGGAGCCCCAGGTGAGGGGGATGGGGTTGGCGACGCTTTGGGAAGGGTACGTTGTTAGCTGTGGTGGTTAGTGAATTAATGGTGGTTTGGGAGGGGGAGGGGGGGACGTACGACGATGCGGTTGCTATAGGCGTCCGTTTTGAAGGGAGGTTCTTGTGTTGCTGTTGGCATGCTGGGTGGGTGGATGTGATATTGTAATGGATGATTAGGAAATGAAAAGGAGTTAGATGGGATAAAAGGTGTACGAGACGTGATGATGAGAGTTGTTACAGGGGAGTGGTAGGTTTATATGCTTGTAGTGACTTCTGTTCAGATTGCTCTTTAGGGTAGATGTTGTGCTGGAGTGGATGGGCGATAGGGTGCTTCCGCTTCCTGACTATCTGGTGACACAACTGGACAGAGCTATCAGCATCCTCATGATGGAGTAGCTCCGATAGTAGCTTAGATACGATCGATCTCTCGATGATAGACCCTGGGTGCGTCTGATAGCCAATCAGAGGGGCCGATAAGCAGTGGCTGCCGCTTATCTTGTCTAATCTTATCTCTTGTGCTATCTACATCTACCGCAACAGAATGGCTTGTATAGTTACTGGTTAGTAGTTAACGTTGTGCAGTGAGTTGGTTAGAATATTCCAGTAATTGTGTATAGTAGTAATATACGTAGGGAGAAGTTAGAGGAGATACATGGAGTACACCGGTTACAATACCATAAAATAAGAGAACAGTGTTCTTATCGCACTATCAAGGCTACGTCTAGAACAAAGTGCCATCTCCAGAGTTCAAAATCGGGCTCGACTTCGTCTCAGGCCTGTACTTCGCCGCCAACTCCCTGCCCGCCTTCCATGATCCCGCCTCCAGCATCTGGGGCAATGATAACTGCACAGCCCCAAACTTGCCGCTCTGCAGAATCCGTTCATGTAGCTTGTCAAGCAACGCAACAGTCATGGCCCGCCACTCTACAATCTCCCCATCTGCAACGGCAAAGCACGGAAGGCTTCCGCCTGAGGTCCGTAGTCCACGCTCCTGCGCCTCGGGCTTAAGCGTCAATACGCCCATGTCTATTAATAATCCTCCGTTACGGTACTCAGGGAGGCCAGTTCCCAGCTCTGCGTTCTGCCATTTCAGGGAGAGAAGTCGCTCAAAGGGAACCTTGAGGGAGTATGCAAGCCACTGCGTGAGCTTATGGAATGGTTGAATACTGTCTGTAGTGGAGGATGGTGATTGCTCTGCGAGCACGGCGAGTGGCCAGGCGTCGCCGATGGGGTAACCGTTCACTTTGGTGCGGTCGGATGGCCAGATGGGGATGAGTGCTTTCTGTAGGACATCCCAAAGAACCAAGTAATCGATGGAGCCTTTGCTCATAGCAAGGAGGTAGTCTGTGGTGTTTCGTTAGCCGCTATGTACTCTAAAGCGCCTATGTTAACTGACCTGCGATTTGCCCAGGACGGCCGGACGGCCCAAAAATCTCAGGGAGGTTTCTCAACGACTCGCCCAGTCGTTGAAGAATCTGGACCCGGGCAGAAGCTCCAAGAAGTGGGTTGCTGGAATCATCGACTTGAAAGCCGCGAAGTAGTGTGTCCACACTGAGGGTCCGCAGGGCCTCTCCTGTTGTCCATCGTGAGCAATGACATGTCTAGGCCAACAAGTTCGACAGCACGTACCATGTACCACATCCTTTCTCTCAGATTCCTTGTTGGCGAAGTCACCGTTCAAGAACATATACAGCGATGCGACCGCAATACCCTCGCTGCGGGTGAAGACGGCCCCGGTTTCCCTCTCCACGTAACGCCAAGTGTCTCCCGCACCGGCATCGAGAAGCACGGAGACGAAGAATAGATCCAACAGACTTCTGACTTTCTCTTTATCATCATATTCAGATGCATCCCATCGCTCGATCAGTTTCTGGATTCGAGGCACGCCGCCTACGTCGAAGTGCTGCCAGCGACCGTGGGGAGGGATTTGGTCGTAGCGGTCCGGGCCGAAGTCGCGCTGAGTAGATGGTTAGGGATGGTTTTTGGAAGTATAAGAGGCTATTTACCTGGATTATGCCTGCAACGTAGTCTACGGTCGCATCGAGACGCTCAGGGTGGTAGTCGTAGTGGTGCAGCTTTCCTTGTTCAGCGAGGCGGAAGACGATATTCGCTCTCTCGCGTACGGCTTCCAGACGAAGCAAGTGTCTGGTATTGGAATCCATCGTGTTTCTTGCAAGTTTCGAGTGTACCCTGAGTACTTCTCTCCTTGATACGAAGAGAAGATAGATGTGTTGTTTACAAAGAATTTTACACTGGATGAGGGGATGAGCACAACAAAGCGGGGAAGGCGCTTATCGCCTCGGCTGATACGGTATCTTATCTGATACCAGCGACGATAACCGCCTTGTGAAGATGGGCGGAACAACTATGAGATCGGAGGATGCCACAGTGATCATATCATTCTATATCTTAACAAAGTCAACATATTTATAGCAGGACATAATCACTACATTGCTCATTGAGCACACATTCTCATTCATTTCTCTTCTCGTCACATCAATACCAACCCGCTGTATCCATCATGACAGTCACACTACCCGCCAATGTTGATCAACCTCAAAATGGTACTTTCACATCCCTTCTCTCACAACTCAGGGATCGATCCCTCAAGCCCTCTAAAGTACGCAGCCTAGTGCGCGACATGACAGCAGCCATGATAAAGAGCCTGCACATCGACGCACCCAAAGATGAAACAATAGCTATCATCGTGGTGCTACGCTCTGGTCTCGCTATGTTCGATGGTTTCGTGGACAACATCCCTGAAGATGTGTCGACAACCGTCTACCACATGGGCATATTCAGGGACCAGGCGTCGTTGCAGCCGGTTGAGTACTACAATAAGCTACCCGTGAAGCCGGCGCACATCAAGCAGGCTTATATCCTGGATCCGTTGATTGCCACGGGTGGTACAGCCGCTGCCGTTATCAGTATCTTAAAGTGAGTTACAAGATTATTGTAATGTTCTGATTAGCCACTGATTATACCAGGGATTGGGGAATTGAGAAGATTACATTTCTCTCTATGATGTCTACACCGGTTGGTCTGAGACATGCAGCTGCCGTGTGGCCCGAGGGTAGCCGATTTGTGGTGGGTGCAATTGATCCTGACGTGGATGCGAAGGGGTATGTTCAGCCTGGGGTTGGGGATATTGGGGATAGGCTCTATGGAACAGCATTTGATTAAAACATATACGTAATAGAATTGTACAAGAACGTGAAGACTTACTTTTGCACCTCCGATCTTGCCAAATGAAATACATTCTGCACCCTTTTCTCGCCCTTTCATCCCTTATATCAATTAAACATATCGAATCAGAATCAGACGTTTGGCGTTGCAGACAGTTCTAGACATCTGGAGGTCCTGACACATATTCTATGTCAACTGCTCAAGATTAAGAACAGGTCTAGAAAAGCTAGCCGGCTAAACAGCACTATACGTCCAGACACGGCTGAAAATTACAATCTTATCAATAAAGTAGCCAATCCCTTATATAAAGCGAAAGAATATTTACAAATCCCCGGGATTCTAAGAATCAACCCGTCACCTGTACACCTCAATAGACAGCCTAAACCCTATAGCGAACCCAAATCTACCCTTAATGAGTCGTTCCATAGTACCTATCACCGAAATCTCCCAAGCCAGGACTGATGTAGCTGAAGATTAGTGAGCAACGGATCTACTTCAAGTCAAATAAGCACACTTACTTCTGAGCAGTCAACTCCGCATCCACCGCCGCAGCAACAACCTTCAGACCCGGAAATCTGCCAGAGACAACATCCAGTCCCTTCTGCGACGACACCACATTAACAAGAACAATAGATTCCTCAGGAACACCATTGCTCGTCAAGTTCTCAACAGCTTTGATCACAGATCCGCCGGTCGCGAGCATGGGTTCCAGGAGCAGGACGACTAGATCATTGTTAGTGTGTTCTCCTTTCCTGCAAACCAACAATCCATCACAAGAGAAGATAAAACCTACTATCATCCGTAATCCCCGCCGGCAACTTCGAGTAATAAATTTTGGCGATGCTAGTCTCCTCATCGCGCTGGATGAGCAGCTTACCGAAACTAAGAGGTCCACTGCCGCATCCTTATTTAGCGCACTTGAATACTCTTCAGATACAGAAAGGAAACACTCACGTCCAAGTATCCCGCAGCGCCTGTTCCATACAGGCACCGGCGCGGAGAATACTGACACCGCAAACACCCTTCGTGAACCGGATTCCGGTGTAGGGTTTGTTGATCGGGGTAGTAACAGTGTATTCTTCTGCGGGGACGTGACCCAATGCTATACATTTACTTAGGCTGTCGTTCCAATGATTTTAATGGTTTAAGAGGCCATTGGATATAGAGTTATACTTACCGGCCGTAATCAATCGGCGCACAACCTTCTCCACAGCAGCGGAAAAGTCCCGATCATTGGTATTCACGTCCCGGATGATGGTCATCAAGTTAAGTAGAGACCTGTCCTGTTCCAGGACCGTGATGCGGTCCATTTGGGTAGTCCAGGCTGCTGCGCTAGAGGATTCCATGGCGTGGATTTAAGTTTGGACTATTTTTTTTTCGATTGGCCGGAAGTGGGCGGAGTGATTGTTGAGGTGTTGTGATGAATTGATGTTCGAAATGGATGATTTGAGCCACTCTGTGGATAGGACTGACTATATGGTATAGGTTGGACGACTTTGGGCTTAGTCTCGACCGGCGCTGATTTAGTCGCGTGCTTTAGGCCTATCGTGTGAAAAGAAAGGCGGAGTGAAAATTCGGAGGGTAAAAAGCGCGGGGTTTTGCGGTGCGAAATGACGATAAGATAAGCGGGGTGAGGATCTAATCTAATCTTATCTGGTTTGGGTGTTGGACCTGGGAGGAGTCCTCCGAAATGTTTGTATCGGTCGCTGTTGTCCAGAAAAAATGATCGAGTGCTGAGTCGAATCTTCTATGACATTACAAGCACTCAACAGGGTACCTGAGAGCGTGCAGTCGTAATGGCCACCATATGACTCACCCTACGCTCCGACTCCTTGAAATTGGAACTTAACATATTTCTGTTGGTAATGAAGATAGTAGGGTCGGAAGAGTATGAAGAGTAGAAGACGCCGGCTATGTGGTAGCACGAAGCTCCATTCAGGAAGAAAATCGCTGAGAATACCGATCTCATATATTGCCCGATGTTCTTGGCGTGATCGCAGAGTATCGAATGAGGAGCTGTCTACGCAGGTAATCAATATGCAGCTTTTCGGCAACTTGTAGCGGCTCTCTACTTCTACCCCTCACTTGAATAATCCGAGATGCCATTTTCGATTGAACTGATGTCCCTGTTGAGAGGATGATGCACTAAAAAGGCGAGAAATCTTCTTAACCGGTATTCCGAGGTAATACCATTCTTGGATTGTGATAAATGGTGGTTCTGCTTAAATGCATAGATTGAATGGTAAAGAAGTTTTCGTGCTCATGACAGGCATACATCTGAGGCTGAGAGCCTCATAGACCCATTTCGTATATAGAACGACAAGATACGCAACTATACCCAACAGAGCATCGCCTGTGCGCTTATCAAGGCGATTTACGTAGCAGCTCGCTTATCAGTAAACACGCGCACAGACCAAGCAGCAACCCCAAGTCTGATAAGACAGCCAGTATCTACCAGATCGCCAGATAATCATCGCCACCATAATCCGATAATCTGTATCTCCCGATTGGATTCACAAAATCGCCATACGATATCATGCCCCGAGCATCAAGCGCCTCATCGGGTCACTCTAGGTTCACACCTTTCCCCGCAGCCTCCCCTGCTTCTAGCAATGGTACCACGGTGTCGGGGCGCGTGCGCCGGCGGATCTCAGATGTAGGTTGTTCCAGTTCAATACACCGATAAGAGTGGAATAACCCATGCTGATGAGATTGTGGAGACAAGACCCGTCGTGATGGGTTAAGTTCCCGATCCAGTCGTGCTGAAACCGTACCGCTTGAAGAAAGTGATGCATCCGACCGGGAGGAACCATTGCCGCAATCGCAGTCTGGGCCGACAATCACGCATCTGTTTATTGATAATGAATCAGTGATGTCTAGGTCGCAGAACTGGACGACTGTTTTGGATCCGGTATTTGACTTGATCAATTTTAGATCATCGTTACTAGTGCTAACGTGATGGACAGGTCTCACAACGTCTACTCTGCAGGGTCCCGGGGAGCACTCTTCAGGAAGTACAGCGGGCTGTTGGGGCTGCTGAAGATGCCCAGCCTGGATGGGCTGCTTTGGGGTTCCAAGTTAGGCGTGAACATCTGTTGAGACTGGTGGATGTACTAAGACAGATGTCTCCTGAAATTGTGAGCAGCCGCAACAGCTGGCTGGCAAAGGAGTTGAACTAACAATCATAGGTGACATGTTTATCTCGAGAGGTTGGAAAGACCCTAGCCGATGCAGACGCAGAAGTCTTCCGCGGTCTGGACTGCATACATGCTGCATGCTCGATTGGGCCTGAAATGGCCGGCATGTTCTTAGGAGGTGATGCAACGTTGCTACAAACGTTCTACGAGCCAGTTGTAGGTTAGTACTAACAAGATACGGACAAGCTACTGACAGATTTCCACAGGGCGTCTGTGTGTCAATCACCCCATTCAGCTTCCCCTTCATGATTCCCTTGTGGTCGCTTCCGTACGCGCTCATCACCGGCAATACAGTTATCCTGAAACCCTCTGAGAAAACACCTACTACGTCTTCGTTGCTAGCACAGGCATTCGTAAAGACTGGCTTCCCACCTGGTGTCTTCAATGTGCTTCACGGCGGTCCATCTACTGTTCAGATGCTTGTGACTCAACCTACAGTCCAAGCGGTGAGTTTCGTTGGGTCCGAGTCCACTGCTAGGCAGGTCCATGACTTGGCAAGGGCTGCAGGGAAGCGAATACAAGCAGAGTGTGGTGGCAAGAACCATGGGGTTGTCCTAGGAGATGCCAATATGTCCTCAACGCTGTTTGCGATTGCTGGAAGTGCCTTTGGAGCTGCGGGTCAGCGATGCATGGCCTTAAGCGTAGCAGTGTTTGTTGGTGCGACGAGAGACTGGGTTCCTAGGCTGGTCGAACTGGCACAGTCGATGGTGGTAGGATGTGGAGGGGATCAGGAGTCTAAGATCGGGCCCTTGATCGACAAAACAGCCAAAGAAAAAGTTAGTGAGATGATCCAGCGAGCAGTTGAGGAGAGAGCAACGGTTCTTCTGGACGGTCGGGATATTGAGGTCCCCGGCTATCCGGATGGTAACTTCATGGGCCCAACCATACTCGGGGACGTGCAAACGTACATGGAATGCTATCAAGCGGAAATATTTGGACCGGTACTCATCTGCATGGAGGTGGATACTCTCGAGGAAGCGATCGATCTGATTAATCAAAATAAGTGTCAGTCTCCGGTCAATTCCGTGTCTGGAGAGCATGGATTGCTGATCCGATCATAGATGGTAACGGATGCTCCATATTTACCACCAGTGGAAAACATGCAAATACGTTTCAACGCTGTGTCAATGTCGGACAAATTGGTGTCAACATCCCGTTGATCGGTATGGCTGTCCCCATTCCCGTGGCGCAACCAACCCCTGACAATACAACAGCGCCATATGGAACCGCGGTCCGAACGAGCAACAAAGATTCTTTTCTGGGTGGTGAGTATCCAGGCATTGCTGATGAGAGAAACTCTAACCTGTCCAGACCGGCATTCCCCTGGAAAGACATATTGGCCATTCTTCACAACAACAAAGACGGTGTCATCGCGATGGGATCAATGAGCGCTGAGGAGTGTCCTCGGTATGCGGCAGATGAAGAGTGTTGGTCGCAAAGATCGGGTATGAGTCGCTTTCCACCTTGAGGTCGAATGCAATGCGAGATGTAACACATTTGCATCCTGCTCGTCACTGAACTGATCGAGGTCTGATTGGATGCATCACGGTCGTGCTAGAGTATAAGCATCGATGAGCCGAGGCGCGGACTATACTACTTGTCGAGGTGTGTGCTGGATGACATGCCGACCGATGGACGATAAACACCAGATCCGATCGATAAGTAGGTAGATTCAACACTGCTGGGAAATGAGCCCTGAGGAATAGTACTTCACTGTACTTGGGAGTTGAAGACACACTTTTGACCCTCTCCAAGATTTCACCGTACTAGAATGAGAATGAGTCACGTAATTTCCTCCACGTAATCGAAAATATACACTTACATAAAGTGCGTTATACAATATCACATACGGGCGACCTTCGCTACATCAAACTCATCCAGCTCGTGGTTAATGAGGCTTGGGGTGACTGCTCAGGGTCACAAAACACCAATTTAGTATGGGAGGCGTTACGTGCTCGTCTCTACATCTGGCTGCTAGACCTGTCGACGAACTTTCCGACCTGGAAAACAGGCCGTGTCGACATCCGGACGACGCGCGATGACTGCTCACGAAGGACCATGATAGCCTTGCGGCAACACGAGTAGATGGGCTAGGCTGGGTCCGAACCGACCCAATTACAACCCCTTTTGGATTAAGTTGGATGCCAAATGCTCCAGCCGATGAAAACTCTAAAGATCAGCAGTACTGGTACGCATAGTCGGTAAACTGTAAGACGCCTCCACGGCTAATTGGAAAAGTCATTGCTTCCACCAGTTCAGCAGATAGCTCCCTCGTGATCTATGCCTATAGCTCCCACGAGCTCATGGGCGATTGCCGACCTTGCTCCACTATGGAGTACCCCCTGACAGAACCTAACCACGATCCAGAAGTCGAAATGCCTGGTCCCGGTACATCCGCTGCGGATGGGATGTGGATCCGGCCTGAAGATCGCTAGACCGTACCAACTGCACGGAGAATATTACGGCCGCTAGTTCTCACTTGCTGCATTTGGTGTCAGTTGTCATTATCGGGAGTCGTTTGTTTTGGTCCGTGAATTATTTCGACATTGGTTGGAATCCGTTTGCCCTGGTCCCGTCACCCGCAAATAGCTTCAATCCTTGTCTGCTCGAACGTGAGACCCCGTTCCCGTCCCCTAGAGTTCAATGGCGTCTTCAGGATGATAAGTCAAGCAGGTGTTCTCTTCCACCCGATTTTCCCCGGATCGCAGCCACAATAACGAAGTAAGCATCTAGCTAATTGATTAACCCTTTTGCTTGACGTCAGCGTAAGCAGGCCCAATAAGGAAGGGTACCCGACCCGAGTGAGTCAGGTGCGCGTCATGCGTCAGCACAACTCCCAAAACAACGACATCTCATTATCAGCACCAAGCGGCCAGGCAGTTATAAAGCGTAGTGGGAAGAAGTATCTCCCCTCGTTCCCAGTTGTTGACTATAGTATCATACTATTCTTCTCAACCATTCATCATGCCCACTCTCAGCCAGGTTCGTCAGTCCAACACGGCCCTGGGCGCTCAACGCCAAAAGATGGTCGCCGTCTTCGTTGGAGGCACCAGTGGCATAGGAGAGGCGACAGCTAAGCAGATGGCGCTCGCTGTGAAACAACCAACCATCCACTTGGTTGGCCGGAATCCCGCATCCGGTTCCAGAGTCATAGAGGAGCTCCGGGCTTCCAATCCAAACGGATCATTTCACTTCATTCAATCGGATGTCTCACTTCTGCGCAGTGTTGACAAAGCCTGTGCGGAAATCACCGACAAGGAAAAGCAAATTGATCTCCTCTTCATGTCTACCGGCCACCTCTCTCTTTCAAAAAACGGTAAGTAGCAGAAACAACCTTATCCTGGTCAGTCGGGACGGCTACAAACGCTACCCTGTCAACCCCAACACCCCTATACCCTACTAGTGCTGACAGCGGGGACCCATACACAGAAACCGATGAAGGACTAGACGACAACCATGCCCTTCGTTACTACTCCCGGATGCGCTTCGTGCAGAACCTGATGCCTCTGCTCAGTGCCTCCCCCGGTCCAGCCAGGGTCGTATCCATCCTAGCAGGCGGCCAAGAAGGCACCATCGAAGAAGACAATTTCGACCTGAAGAAGTCATGGAGCTTTTCGAAATCGAACACATACGCCGCCACATTAAACTCCTTAGCAATAGAGCATCTAGCCTCCGCCCATCCGACCGTAAGCTTTCTACACGTCTTTCCGGGAATTGTACGGACTCCTTTGATGAACGCCTCCTTTGGGAACTTTGGCGGGGCTATCATAAGCTTTCTTTCTCGTCCAATTTCCATCACGCCGGAGGAGAGTGGCGAGCGTAATCTGTTTCTCTCGACGTCGGCAGCTTATCCTCCCGCCACGCCCAAAGATCCATCACATCTGGGGGTTCCCTTAGTCAAGGGGGTGGACACAGCATCTGCATCAACTGGTAAAATTGGAGGGGGCTCCTATATTCTCAAATACGATGGGAGCAATGCAACTCGCGAGAAACTGATGGCTGATTATCGAGCCCGGAGTTTCCCTGGTAAGGTTTGGGATCATACACTGGAGACATTCAAGCGGGTGGTACGGTCGGACTGATGATGACGGTTTTCGTGCGGATGTTTTTCTTTTCTTCTTCTCTTTTTTCTTTCTCCCTCTGCTTTCCCTAATGTTGCATCGTCATGGACGGTATTCAACTTTACATAACCGAGTTTGCCGTCGGATAGGCCAACTCCCATGTTCGTAATCTCATCTATCCAAAATTGAAGTTCGTACTTTGTCTCTAAGCTACGTTCAGGACTCTGACCCGATGATGGAAAGAGTAGCAGAGGATCACACGGTCGGGTATGGCTTTCCGAACGGGAAACATATGAGTCGACGAGATGAAAGATGAAAGGAAAAACAAATCATAGCAAAACGCAGCCGAACTATAAATACATGATTGATGCTTGAACAATTAAACAAGGGTATACGAAGGAAAATTGTAAAAAGGCCACTAAAGAGAGGGGAACGAGCGCTCTTGGATGATCTCAGAAGAAGCACTCTCTTTCCACTCCTAACTAGACCGACCGATGTAATTGTCGTACATTTAGTGAACTTAGAAAGTAAAGTTAGGTAACATGTTGTAATATATGCGTAGTATGGCAATTTTCAGACGACAATATTCCAGTGATAAGCAGAGGAAAAAAGGGGGGGGAAGAAACAGGGAGAACCGAAGGAACAAAATGAAGAGAAGAAAAACAGAAAAGGTAAGGTAAAATATCCAATCTAGATAGAGTTTTGTCCTTGGTTCAATCGTCCACTTTGGAGTTTGAATCGCTGTTTTCATCATCATCATCATCATCATCATCACCATCAATGTCGCCTTTACATCCGCCCTGACAGACAAAGCGACCACCGCATGAGCAGGCCTGAGGTCCGTCTTTGGAGTAAACAATATCGGCGAAAGAGATCGCTGAATCAAGAATGGTGTCGCCCTCCTCAACCTGGGGGATCTCTTTGTCCAGTTGCTTTCGTAATTCTTCTTCCCCGTCGTCCCTATGGTCGTATTCGAAATGTTCTCGGCGTTGCTGCAACGTATCCATAACGTCCGAAGTTATCAAGTGGCGACTTGAGACAAGAGGAAAGTGCAGTAGTATTGGAATAGGCCATTCGTCAGGTTGGATTTCATCGGAACACCCTCGTTTCCGGACTCTCGTTTTGCGATGCAAGAAGGGCCCACACCGCCTGACATCAAGTTCGAACTCAAATTCGGTTTCAATTGTTCCCAGATAAATAGATATGTCAATTGCGGACCGATAAATGTCGACAAGCCCTTCGTATCGGTTTGTAACTTGATTCGAGTCGGTCATTTTCTTCAATACTACCTGCAAGGCTTGGCACTCCTTGAGCATGCTGGTCGCAAGTCGATTTGCGAGCAGCTCCTGGGCCTTGCCGGTTTGATGTGCAACCCTGTAGTCCCTCGTATGTTCGGGGTGGACCTGATTTAGGAGCTGGGTTGTCGTTCTCCGCCAGTCAGATGCTCTGATCGGGTCAACTGCGGTATGGACAAGAAATTTAGTCTACCAGATACTTGTACACCCCCCAGGACAAGCTAAATGATTTGCAGACATACCTTTGATTAGCCTCTTCCAAAGTCCCCACAATTCCTTCCCAAAGGCTGGTGGATCCATGCTTGACTGGCTATCTGTGCCCTCCTGACTGCCCTCAACGTAGACAAATGGATTACTGATAACATCTTCAAAGAGGTGCTTCATTAACACCGTACCTGGAAGAAAATACCAGAAGTTATTATAGCCAAGTTCGTCAAGTCTCGCCTCAATCGACTTCCAATCTTTGTCCAAGCAAAAGTTCCCAAGGCTGTCCAGAATTAACTGTAAATCGCCGGCAGACAACCTATCCCTGAGCTTTGCTCTCCTGTAGCAGTATTTATTCACCCACGTTGAGACACGCCGGCTGAAGTCGTGGAACAGGTTCTTTGTACAGCCTTCATTCCATTCACCCCTATAGCTCAAAGACCTCGGGCGTGTCCAAACAATGGATTTACCTGGGCGTCTTTCTTCTGGTAACTCTGGTAACCCGTGTTCATCAACAGGCACCTCATGCTGTTGAACCTCTGTAGATTCTTCAACATTTGCTGACACTGTAGGTTCAGAAGCTGAGCTAGCGTCGATTTTGGCTTTCATTGATGTCTGGATTTCTGGTGACACTGGAGGTTCCGAAGCAGAGCTGGTGTTAACCTTATCCTCTGTCGATCTTTGAACCTCAGGTGGTGTCTTAGGCTCAAAAGCCGACTTGGATTCGGTACTTTGATGGACCCTGGGCTTCCTCCCCTTCAATTCGGTCGCTTCTTGTTTCTCTAAAAACCTAGGAGAGCGCCTTTTCTATACAGTCCACAAAATTCATTAGCATTTTTCGGAAGCTCCACATCCTTCATGGAACCAAGCTTCGTTCATGTGGTCCCGCAAGGTCTGACGGCATTAGAGCCCCGCAACACAAGGCCCACTGTGGGATAGCCAGTGTCCACAACGTGCAGAAGAGCCTGGACGGTTGGAGGAGAATGAGTGAAGAATGCATTAACGCTCGTTTCTTACCTGTGAAGATTCGCTAGTGTTCTTTGCCTTTCTTTTTCCCATCTTGAAGCCCACTGTAGTTTTGCTCACTAGACGGTGTTGCCTGTCTATCCAAATGGCAGTTTTGATACTAATCACGGGGAAAACACTGTGTGACAAGATTAAGATTCTCTCAGAGTTTATATACGATGGTTATAAGTCAGATTCTTTGAGCATCGGCTGGCCTTTTTAAGACTTCTATAATGCGGTTCCTGAATAGTCATAAGACAGGCGGTATTGCCCAAAGCATGAGGCAATAAATAATGGAAACTACCAATACAAAAGGACGAAAGAAGAAAAGGCCAGGGACAAGGGTCTCGCCTTTGAACTTTGGAATCGCGGGAAGCGTTAAAAGCCATCGTCAAGGGGAATGGTGGCAACCGTATCCACCCAGCCTTTTCTCTCAATTTGTCAGGTGATAGAATCACAGAGGTCCAGGCCCGTCATCTGGGCGCATGCCACTTGCTTGGGCAAATTTACACTTACTCTTCTGTCTCACTCATGAAGGGCGTCAGCTGGATCTAGATCTCCTCAGATTTGGACAAGCAATATAACTTACGTCCAATTTACCTAGTTCGTGGCTGCCTATGTCCATCTCAAGAACCACTTTCAATACTTTTCCCTTGTCTAAATTGCGCTTTTTTTTTGTTTCCTATCTACCCTATATCTTTGTGTCCAAACCAACATAATCTTAGCCGAACTGGTCTCCCGAATAACGCCATAATGACCATGGAACGTACTCGGAAGATCGCTGTGTCCGTGGATTGCGGAACTACTCATACGAGTAAGACTTTTGGAACCCCAAGCTGGTCGAGCAAGGCTCGGGCATAGACATTGATCAGTCGGAGCAGGTGTTGCATGGATTCATCCCGACTCTACGAATGTGAAGTTTATCGACACTTGGCCCGGAACGCAGACTCGTTCGACGCGTGTCCCGACCCGCATCGCCTACAGTTTCAGGAAGCGAACCCTCCAAAACGCGGCATGGGGATACATGATTACCGAAGATCATGTAACTTCTTCCTGGGTTAAGCTACTCTTAGAACCTGAAGTAACGGAAAAGATCATCGCCGATGACAACAAGCAATGGAAAGATTCCGTGGGAATTTTCCACCGGCCTGGAGGCAGGGACCCTACCAGTATCATTGAGGACTTCCTGGACCGCCTCAGGAAATATTCGGAAACTCACATTAAGAGAAAATGCAATGACAAAGACCTTGGGATATTGCCATTTGCATACATTTTGACTGTACCGGCGACATGGTCGGAAGTAGCTATAAGCTCCATGAAGAAAGCCGCCCGGGCAGCAGGTTTTCGCGGAATTGCTGGAGACGACCCTCTCGTCCTCTCTGAGCCAGAAGCAGCACTAACAACAATGTTATGTGATCCATTGATTCCCATTCAGGTGTGTCTCTTACGCTGCTGTTTTGTTTCCACATCTTGAAGGTATTGTGAATGTTGACTTTAGTATTAGGCGGGAGATGGAGTCGTTGTCTGTGACTGTGGAGGTGGAACGCTTGTAAGGATATATCCAGCTCTCTATCACCCTTTGAGGGTCTGGCTTACCACATACAGGATATTGGCACCTACTTCATCCACCAGAAAGAGATCGGGGACTACAGAACTGTAAGCAACTACACAGGTAAGTCTCCCCCGTCAGGATCGCCACATTTACGAACGCACCCTGAAGTCGAGTAGATCCTTCGGGGGGTAGCACTATGATAGACCGGGAATTTTACGCTGTCGCGTTTGGAAAGTTGAAGTCGAAGAAGTTGAGGCGCTCGGTCTTTTCCCCAACTGGTCGTTTAATGAGCGATTTTGAGTCAGCCAAACGTGACTTCGAAGGCACCATCGGTCAAGATATTGACGATATACAGTATCCTATATCGACAGGTTTTCGCAAGTTCGACTTCACAAAGTCTGCTGCTTCCCCCCTCCCCCTTCCCCGCCTACCTCTCCTCTGTCGGCTTTTTGTGGGGAATAAATCTAATCGAATAGCAACAGTGTCGATATGCTTGATCTTCAGTATCCTCTCATAGTGACAATCTGCGATGTTCTGACAGCGCAGATTAATCGAGCACGTGACTTGATTGGACGCCCAGTAATCAAGGTATGGAGTACTGATTATCTCACTGACATATTTTCACACATTTATCGATTCAGGCACTGACAAACACACAGCACGTTTACGTATCCGGCGCGGCGGCATACTCCGTCTATCTTTATAACGCCATTCAGAGGCTTTTCGCGAACTCGCAGATAACGGTCTACCGACACCAAACGCCGTAAGACTGCCCTTACCTTCTTACTTGACATTGTCTAACAATGGATCCATGAGTTAGAGAGACTGCTGTAGCTGAAGGCGCTGCCCGCTGGGCGCACAGGAACCTTCTTTCAGTTGAAGAGCTCGACCGTCATTACGGTGTTGAGTCCTCTGGCCCTCCAGTTGGTGCCATGGACATCGATAACCAAGAACCTCGAGCGCCTCAGGGGCCTCCCGTCTCTTGGGTTTTCAAAGTAGTGAGTTCATTGAAAGTACCCAGCTATGCAAACATGCTCTGATAGTGAAGTTTCTCTCCTCAAGGGGGACCGGTGCTCAATTGGCGAATTGCGAACCGCCACATTTACCTGCCGGGTGTTTCAAGATTTCCCTTTCGCAGTTATCAACATGTACGATGCAGTACCGAGGCCTGTGGGCGGACAAAAAAATGCGATATACGGTTCGAAGAACTTTCATTTTCTCATCTTTGTGACCCATTCTTTGTGACCTGTATGAAATAAACCCTGATCGAAAACCAGATGTCCGGAATATTGGCCATGTATTCTGCAACTTCGTTGACGCATTAAGTTCGGGAGGTACAAGAAGTGGAGACACCATTGATGTGAAGCTCCGCCTTACTCTTGAAAGAAGTAAGATCCACGTCAGGGCAACTTCCTCCCATGGCCACGACTTTGGGAAGGTAGAAATCGATCGTTTCTAGGGCCTGATCGCAAAGACCCTCTGTGATCGCTTTGCTGCATGGGGTGGCACGAGGAAAGTTTCTTGGAAGTGAACATTTTCGGAGCGAGGTCAACTGACATGGCAACTTTCATCCGCTATGTCTCTTTTATCTTTTGAAGCTGTTGTTGTTATTTGTTGATTCCATTATTCCCACATTTCTGCTGTGTTTTTGCTTTTGAAAGAGAAAGTTTGTGACTTGCATCTCCTTTGTGTCAAGTCTCGGGGATTTCATCTATTTCGGGCCTTCTTTTACACACACAAGCTCTCTCTCTCTCTCTCTCTCTCTCTCTCTCTCTCTCTCTCTCTCTCTGTCGTATTTCTCATGAGTGCGCTATTCACATTGACACTGGTAATTCTATTGAAGTTTCAAATTCATGGGAACCTGTACTGTAGTTGTTGTATAGAATAAGCATGGTCTAGCTGCAAATAATTTGTATTCAGTTCACAGGGGCTTTCGAGCATTCACTGCTCGTTTGGGTCTGTTTGACGCCAGAGTATGTGATCGTATAGAATGATGCTCAACGGACGAGTCAACACCAAGGTGGCATTAGTACATATTAAGTTCCCGCTCGGTCGGCCACCCACGGTGTGCTATACAGGAAGCACCTTTGTCTTATAACGATATTTTTGCTACTGGAACGGGCGTTGATCCCATAAATAGATCAAAATTCAGGTATGACAGACAACCTGATCAACTAAGTTTTCTATTAGATAATTCTGATCGCTCTTTGTACTATGATAGTAGCGGAGAAAGTTGTACGCTATTTGTCTCATATTGAAGGGGTCTCGGTAATGCACAGAGCACAGAAATAGAAGGAATAAAAAAAAGTAAAAATATAATACTCTTCCTGAACGGTGCAATTTCTGGATGATTGAGTTATTGTTCGCAATGGAAGAGTTTCGGCAGGTCATTATTGATGAAGCCAGACCACACAGAGAGACCAGGCCAGTGACACATAATCCAGGAGCTCGTTGACAGCAAGACTTGTATTGTACCAGAAGAAGATGAAAGAAAAGCAGTAACAAAAAATCTCCCCGACTGGGAGTCGAACCCAGGTCTCCCGCGCTTGTTCCCAGGCGAGATTGACAAGCGGAAATCATGACCGTTAGACCATCGAGGACTTAAGTGTATGATTGTTCTGTTATTTACGTACTTATCTGAGCGGATAAAAGCTCAATGCTCTTGAAAAAACCGGAAAGCAAAAAGTGGACTCGCCGGGAATCGAACCCGGGACCTCTCCAATGCGAATGGAGCGTCATACCCCTAAACCACAAGCCCATCTTATTGGTAGAGTACGATGAGTCTTGTTACATAAAGGTTAAACGTTTGCTCTCGTTTCAAATACGTCTGCATCAGAACCCAGTCCGGGTTATCTGATGGGAAAAACCGAATACAACGCTTTTTATGGGAATCAACGCGTCATCATTTTAGAAGTGTCTTACTTCCGTCCGTGCAATGCCGCTATTCCAGCACTTGCTGTGCCTCGGGATGCGGAGAAAGAAGCGGGGAAATGCAAATGTAACCTATCAACTTCTCCAGACTGGGAGCACATCCACGCTCATCTTAAACCTGATCATGTTTCTTTCACAAAAGGTTGTCAGTTTATACTACCGAGTCTCTATATTAGGCAATAATCCTACCTCTATATATATATCCATTGCTATAAGCCCTCCTAACCACGGCCTCGCCTGTTGCCCTTTGTCTTGTATATTGAGAGCCACCTGAACTGCCCTTCTTCGTTGGCTCGGGGATATTCCCACAAACTTACCGTCGTTGGCATGGTCAACAAGACGCTTTTCTCATACCCGAGCTCTACTAGAAGGTAATATCTGTCAGGTGGAGTCCCTTTACATAGACGCATAACTGAAGCCTCCCCGCGATATATATAAACTCGGCATCATGTACAGATTCCCGCCTGGTCTCGCCCGTCGGACATCACGACTCACCCCGACAATACAACCCCCACTAAAGCAATACTACCACCGTCGCAAGCAATCATCCTATCCACGTACCATAATACCATCGAAGATCGAACTAGAAAATAACAAACTCACCCCACAAAATCTCGAACGCGCCATTTACTCCCTCTTCCACGACGGCCTAGTCATCATCGAGAACGCCATTCCACACGACCCCCTCGACCACCTAAACACAAAAATGATGCAAGACGCCTACATCCTGCAAGCCAGAAAAGAGATTAGCCCTTACAATTACAACCCAGGGAATATCCAACAAGATCCACCCCCAACAAGAGAACATTTCCACAAAGATATCTTCCTGAGTACGTGATTATTCTCCGCGAGCATTCCCATTCGCTCCTGCTAAAGTAGTAACCACTACAGACCCCCTCGCCATTCAAATTACCTCAACAGCTCTAGGCCCCCGTCCCAAATGGACGTTCTGCTCAGGTAACACCGCCATGCCACCAACCAGTACCTGTCCTCCCACTTCGCAGCCCGTACACACCGACGCGGATTTCGATCATCCATCGCATCCATTCGCCTACGTTATCAACGTCCCCTTGGTTACTATGACTCCTGAAAACGGATCCACAGAAATCTGGCTCGGCACACACGTGGACTCGGGTCTGCATGTGCAGGAGGGAGCGCATGGCACTGATCGAGCTAGTGGGCGGATCAAGGTACAGGAGGTGGAGAAACGTCGCGCTGTGAGGATGCCCTGTCGGCCTGTTGTACCGAAGGGGGCGTTGGTGATTCGAGATTTGAGGCTTTGGCATGCGGGCATGGGGAATCGGACGGGAGATGTGAGGGTTATGTTGGCTATGAGTAAGTAAATTTTTTCCCTTTTGGATTTGATTACTTGGTTGTGGTGGGCTGGTGCTGAGTAAGATTGTTGTGTAGTTCATTTCGCGCCGTGGTATCGGAATAGGATGAAATTGGAGCTTGCGGAGGAGCTGAGGCCCGCGGTGGAGAGGGAGACGAGCTTGCAGGTTCCAGTTGATTGGGTGTCGGAGGAGCAAGCATTGGAGCGGTATCTGAATCGGGGTTTTGGGAATGAGTATGATTTTAGTCAGGGGGTTTAGGAGTAAGAAGCGACTTAATATGGAAAACTATTGTCGCGCTGAGATTAGAGTGGCAGTAGCATTTGATAAGGGTGGAAATTGGAGTGTATATGGACTACACTGAGACTCATCGTCACCAACCTGTTATATTCTATCTCTTAGGCTACTTTGAAAAGTAACCAACCACCTTCAACACTATCACTAACAACAGTTGCCACAGGTGCCATTGGTTGAACAAACAGGCACCACCCGCACGACGTTTGACTTTCAAGGGAGAACCTCAAGGAGTGAACGGCATATCCTCATCCCCGAGAGAAACGATCCAGCTTCAAGATCATGTACTCCTCCCAGTGGCTAGAACCTCCCATTTGAACCTGAGACTGCACTGCCCCATGCTCGTGCTTTCCGACCGAAGCTGCCTTCGGAGGTAGCACCTCGGCCTTAGTTCTCACAGCAGCAGTAGCTGTCAAAACCCTTCCCCTGGCATCAATAGCCTCTGCAGACACTGCGTGAATGACACGGCCTGGAAGTGACAGCGCAGTCTCAAAGCCAGTCCGCTTCGCATCGCCCAAGAACTCGCGCGAGCCGTACTCATCAACTACGCTATAAAAGCGCCAGACCTTTGTCTCAGTGTCACCGTTCCACGAGACATAAAGGGTCGTACCCTGGTCGTTCTGAAGAGATACGATAGCCGGAGTTTCATTAGGAAGTCCGGTCCAGTTGTAACGGAAGGCACGGTAGTTCTCGACGCCTTCGCCCAGAGAGCCCGAGTCCATGTAAGCGTGTAGGATTGGAGTGCCGTCTGGGCGGAATTCGGTCAATGCACCCTCGGAGCCCCAGTTCACAAGGACGTTGCCGTTAGGTAGCAATTGGGTGCCGCCTTGAGACTTGGACAATAGGCCATCGGGCGGTTGGAAGGCTTGGACGATGGATGCTTTCCAGGTGGCAGTATTTACTTTGATGATCTTGCCTTGTGAGAATGGGTGGGTGTGAACTTCGTGGCCGCGACCGTTCTCGGTGCCGTGAGCGGAATTGTCATATAGGGATATAATCTCGGAGTCACCGTCTTTGGAAACGAATCGAGCGTGGTGTTGAAAGCAGAAGTTGACGTTTGGGCCTAGTTCGAAGTCTGACTTGACTCCTCCCAGACGCCAGATGATCTCACCGCTGCTGCCGTCGATTTTGTGCACGGCGCAGGCATCACGGGCGGAGATGAGATAGTTCCCGTCAGTGTCTTTGTCCACGGAGTTAATGTGGAAGTAGTCCCATGCATCTGAAGAGTTGTAGCCAGCGCCTGCTTGGCCAGGGTTGATGGGGAGGATTGCCTCTGATATAGTTCAGTTGGTTGCAGGTGTGTGCTGTGAAGGAGGAAGACTAACCGTCGGGAAGGACATGATCCAAGCTGGACCACTCAAACAGAACATCACCAGTTGCAATATCAAGCTCTGTTACCCTCATTAGCTTTATCTTATTATGTAAATGGACTCCTTACCCTGGATGATGGCATCCACGATCCACTGTTGCTCCGCACTGGCTCCCCAGGAAGTGAGGTCCATTGGCATGGGTTGGTAGATCTGTATCAATGCCGTCTCCTCATTGATGACGTGGAACTCATGCTTGTCCATAATTTTGTGGTTACCGGCACGCAGCTCACGAATGGTCTCATAGTGCTGATCTAGGAAGGTGACATGGCCGTGACCATGTCCATAAACCGGATTATGGTCACCCTCGAAGCAGAATAGAACATCCTTGCCGTTCCATCGGGCTTTTTGAAAGTTGGTTGCCCAGATGGAGTAGTAAGAGTATCCGGACCAGACTAGCTCACCATCATCCCGAAAGATGTAAGGAGAAGCCTGGCGAGGGCCGTGCATTTCTCCGGGGCCATCTGCGATACCAGCAAAAGGAGCAACGAAGAGGTACCCCTTCTCCACATCCGCGGCTGCAGGGATGGTAATATTCAGCTTGGGCGGTGCAAGATCAGGGCGCGATTTGAATTGCCAGTCAGCTGCCACCAGTGGTAGCAGCATCACGGAGGCTGAGATAGGCCAAGGTGAGCGCATGATACGTGCTGAGAGCACATTGATCAGTCCCGTTATTTCTCATCATTGTCAAGGATGGGTACATTAACCTTAGGTAAAATCGATGCACTATATTAGGAATTCCCGGAATTCGTTGGAGGAGGTCTGTAGACTTATGGACAGTGAAATGGAAACAAGAGCGTAGAAATGGAGTTGAGAAGGAATATTATAGGCCTTTAGAAAAGGCCAAGCCTCTCCCGCAAGAGGCAGCGATTCTTGCGTGCTCGTAACAAACCCCGCAGCGGGATGACATGTTCCAATGAAGTTATCCGCATACAATTACGGAACATTGTTTTGGCTATTCCTCTGCCACTGTAATCTACACAAATTGACCCGATTGAACCCTTTGATTCCCGCATTTCCGTGACTCAACATATCCTTCAAAATAACAATGTTTAAGTCGTCAGGTGGCCATAGCGATGTTAAGCAGAGTAGACTATAGATAGTAGAGAAAAGCATTGACGTTTGGTAAAGTGGGGACGGCCATGCCGATCAAATAAGCGAATGATGGCGGGGAGACAAAAGGGAAAGATTAGTGCTGATCAACCCAGCTTCTCGGAAGAGGTCTCGTCGGCAGACGCGACTCTATCCGATTCAGAGGTGAGGTAGACAGTATGAAAGACAATAATCAGTTTTCCTAAGCTGTCGCATCAGCGTCCGTGTGCTCTGCTACCGGTTCAACCCCTTTGGCTACAAGGGTACCCTCGTTACCGGCGAATTTGCCCGCCATTTCTACGAGCGAGAAAACACTCGTTTCGGGATATGCAGACCACAAGACCAGACCAATAGGACAGAATAAGGACCATCAAGATCAGATGGTAGTTCTAGTCGATTTCAGCCAGGGTAGTCTGATTGATGAAAATGTTGTGGATAGTCGAAACAATGATAGTCCTCTTCGGTAGAGTCAATCCCAGTGGGCGAGTACCACTCACCTTTCCCAGTCGCTGTGAGGATAACCCAGCCTTCGTAAATTATCGGAGTGAGCATAACCGAGTCCTCTACGGGGAAGATGTCTACGTCGGATATAGATGGTATGAGCGCATTAAGCAAGATGTCCTGTTCCCCTTCGGATATGGCTTGTCCTACATTTCCTTAGAGTTTTCCAATCTTGAGGTCAAATTGGACGAACAGAAGATCACCGTTTCTGTCGATGTGACCAATATCGGCTCCGTTGGTGGCGCGCAAGTCGTGCAAGTCTATATTTCCCATCACCAACCAAGTGTTTGTCGACCTGTGAGGACTCAAGAGTTTCACGAAGGAGTTTCTCAGAGCTGGTGAGATGAAGCGAGCAACAATGGAGATCTCCCGCAAATATGCCAGGAGCTTTTGGGACGAAGCCCGACAAGCATGGACGGAGGAGCGCGGAAACTATACAATTCTCGTGGGAGAATCAAGCAGCAAAACGTCACTGTCCATGGATTCCCAAGTACAGAATACGAGGTTCTGAAAAGGGCTGTGATGCATGGAACATTGCGACAACTAGTAGGACGCGAGAAGCTTTTCGAACGGCATCGCACGAATACGTGAACAAGAGAAGATAAATAGCCATTTAGCCCGCAAAGAGTACCAGTCAACCACAGGACTTCTATCCACCTCAAGTCTTAATGAACCGTAGATGCCAAACACTAGCCCAACCCCTAGATTGCGGACTTGTAACATCTCCATGGTCACAACTCAAAGACCAAGGTTGATAACTGACCAAGACAGATTATGCTTGTTTGATGCCGTAGAGCTGTTATCGATGTTATCAAGAGTAATCTCCTGAACATCGAATGTCGCGGCTGGTCGACAAAGGCTACCATTCAGACGTTTTCTGTATGCGAGGCTGGGTCAATACTATAATGAGAAGCAACGGGGCCTGCATATCATTTGCTAGAGAGTAACCAATATTGGAGTTAGTTGTCGGCTTTGCATTCGTCAGCAAGCTTTTACCACATTATGCCGTCACGAATCACACTCCCTCCGCACGCGGGCCGCAAGTCGCCGCAATCCCAGCAGGACAGTGTATGTTCGGACATCCCCCAACTTGGTGGAGCCATATGCAAATGGCACGTCTTACGGTACCACACTCGACGAAAGATAATTATGCCCAATTCGTGTGGCTGCCCACGCCCAAGCCAGAACAAGAAGCAACAGTGATGGCAGATGGCCTGGGCTAATACGTCAGCCCTTCCGCTCCCGCTTTGGAAACGACAGTCTGATAGGGCTTCTGACCAGATTATGAACCTCTGAGAGTAAAGATTGTCTTATGTTGTTAAACTTGGTTAAGCTTAGTCTATCTCCCCACAGCCCCGGCTAGACACCGAATCGAACCTACATTGGGGCCCCCAACCAAGTGATTGACCAGCAAATGACGATGAACTTGCACTGATTGCAATTAGATAAAGAGAAACAAAAGTTTTAGAAACGGAAAACACCCAGGTGTAGCACCATTAAGATGATGATCGAATATTCTGAAGGTTGAGATAAGAAATCTTAGGATCAATTACTAAGGAAATTGGAGACCCCAACTCACCAGCACCAAGCCGTTCTCAATCTATGATAGCGCGATAGGGACTGGCACCCTAGTCAATATTAATACGTACTTCATTCCTCTGTGTTCTTCTCTGACGGCGTAGACAAGAAAGCACACGTTGCTGAGGCAGAAGATTGATGATGGCTTTCAACGAGCAAAACCCCTTCCCCATGGCTGCCAAACCCAAACCTGGAACTGTGCGCGTTGCTGTAGTACAGGCCGAAGGCTGCTACTTTGGCCTGCCTGCTGCCGTGCAGAAGACCTGCGATCTGAGAGTCGAGGCTGCTGGGAAAGGCTGTGACTTGGTCGCCATCCCGGAAGTCTGGATCCCCCAATATCCAGGCTGGATCTGGTAAGATAAACATGGGCTTCTCAGAATATACTTCTAGACTAGGGCTCTTTACGTCTATATTGCCCCCCTATTGTGCAATTTAACGATCTTGCGGCTAAAAATTTCTTCTGGTTCCCTGATCGACACAGGCAACGACCCATCAACGACAGCGCAGAAATTCATCCGAGCATGCTCGGATGTCGTAGCATTGTATACGGCTTTCACGTACGGCTCCTTGAATTCGTCGCCGAGACCATTCATTAGCAAGCATTCGGGACAGCATTCACGCTACACGTCAATTTGAAGAATTGCATGCGAGACCTATGTTACAAAGCCTTACAGCCCTTGAATATGAAGATCTATAAAGTGGTTCACCCCCTGTTGACCGTCGCTCTCGACTATCTCTAAAGCAACCTATCCATCTGCGCCCAAAGAACTGGGGAAGAGGCATAAGAAGCGATGCTTCCCCAATCATACGATACCCTCTGGTGCATTTGAGTGTCAAAAACAGAGTTTCGGACACGCGGATTGAATGCCAGCACAAGGAATGGTCCCTCTGCATGGTCGCTAACCTCTGGGTGCAAATGAGAGCAGATAACACGGGACCAAACATGAACCGGGATCCTATATATCGCAAGGACGGCCGCGCATTAGGCGTCGTCTTCAAAAATGTCACCGTTGTTGGTGTTGCCGCCGGAGTTGTTGGTGTCATGACTCTTCCAGCCATGATCAACAAGATAGTTCAATGGCCCGTGACAGTCCTAACTCAAATGACCGGGAAAAGAAAAACGCCGACTACCCAGATCATTCGCGATGCTAACGGAGTGGTCTTCTCTGGCGAATCGATGCTAGTTCTGGGACGACCTGGCGCCGGCTGCACAACCCTGCTCAAGACCTTGGCCAACAGTCACGGGTCATTTCTGGAAGTACAGGGTCAATTGGCATATGCTGGTCTTTCGAACAAAGAGATGGCACATCGATATCGGTCCGAGTACTTTATGCAAGTGAGGAAGACTTCCACTTCTCTACTCTCACAGTCAAAAACACTATAGAGTTTGCCCTCCGGCTGCGGAAGCCCGCAAACGAAACGCGCTCGGACTCGGAGTTCGCCCGCGAAATTGCTGATGCCTCGCTAAGTACTGTTGGGCTATCACACACCACCGACACGATCGTAGGAAATGCTTTTGTTCGAGGTGTTTCTGGAGGCGAGCGCAAACGTGTCACCTTGATTGAGGCTTTGTCGGCAAACCCTGCGGTAGCGGCATGGGACAATCCTACCCGTGGTTTAGACGGTTCATCGGCTACGGAGTTTGTGCAATTTGTCACATCAACTGCTCGTGATACCGGAATGAGCAACATCGTGACCATGTACCAAGTGTCAGAGACCATCTACGATTGCTTTGACTGGGTTACTGTGCTTTACGATGGGCGGACCATCTTCTGCGGCAAGACGGACCGAGCCAAGGAATACTTCATTCGACTAGGCTTTGAATGCCGTGATCGCCAGACGACCCCAAATTTCCTGACTTCCGTCACCTCGCCTGCTGATCGCCTTATTCGAAAGGATGCTGCAGGCATCGTTCCGACCGATCCTGATCAACTGGCTGCCGCATTCCGCGAGAGCCACGAGTATCTGAAGCTTCAGAAGGAGATAGAAGCGTATCATATCCAGGTTGGTAAGAACAGCCGGTTAATACAGGAATTCCGGGATAATGTACAGCAGATTCGCTCCCGCTGGGCACCCAAGCTCGCGATTGCACCTAATCCACTCCCGAAGCAGATCTGGATCACGATTTTCCGGTACTACCAGTTGTTATGGGGCGACAAGCGGACCTTTTTGACCATACTGGCCTTTGTCGTCTTGAATGCTGTGATAAATGGGCCGGCGTACTATATGGCTCCGAAGGACGAGACAGGGTCTTATGAGAAGAGCAGTGCCTTGTTCTTTGCTCTTATATATTTCTATCTCAATGCTCTGACCGAGGTTGTCTCGACTGTCAAATCTCGGAGCATTCTTCTGAAGCAAGCTCAGTACGGCTTCCTTCACCCTAGTGCATTTGTGATTGCGCAAGCAATCGCAGACATACCTATTTCTTTCTTCCAGTGTCTCGTTTTCTCGTGCCTCTACTACTTCAGCATTGACCTGCAACGCACGGCATCCTCATTCTGGATATTTGTCCTCATTGTGTTCGCTCACTATACTGCTGTACAAAGTTTGTTCCGCATGTTGGGAGCTTGGGTTCCTAATATTTCGTTGGCCCTAATGATGGCAGGTAGTGCCATCCCGGTTGGTCTGCTTTACTCGGGGTTCGGACCTACCCGGCCAACACAGCATCGGTGGGGTTCGTGGCTACGTCGCGCATCGCCATCGCCCTATGCTCTTGAGGCACTGATAGGTAATGAGTTTACTGGCATCAATTTGACGTGCTCAGAAAGCGAAATGGTCCCGTACGGCTCTTCATATACCGAGCTCCAGTACCAGACTTGCAGTATAACGGGCAGTCTGAAAGCCCACGATTCCGTTGCCGGTTCGGTATATTTGGCAGATCACTTTGGCTACACCCGCGACCATCTATGGCGCAATTTCGGTATCGTCGTCGTTCTCTGGTTCCTCTACACCGTATTGGGTAGCATTGGACTCACCGTCATGACCCGCGAATCTGGAGGATCGCAGAGCCGTATCTTCAAGTTGTCCAAGCAACGTGATGAGGAGAGCTTGCCCAAGTCGGCTGCGAGCTCCTCGTCCGCTACGCAGACGGTCTGCGAAGATTCCCAAACTGACGGTATGAGAACCGAAGGTGCCTCGGACAGCACTTTTACCTTTACCGATGTCAGCTACACAGTCGCACACGATGGTGAAGACAAGCAGTTGCTGCACAAAGTGAGTGGGTATGCCCGCCCCGGCAGCTGACAGCCCTAATGGGTGCCTCGGGAGCTGGCAAGACTACCCTGCTGGACACGCTTGCGCAGCGCAAGAGAACAGGCAAGA